ATATATATATATATATATATATACACACATATACATACACACACATATATACATGATATCAAAACAGCTCTAGGACCTGTAGCTTATTTCCCCCTCGTGTTAACTGTATGTTCTGTTCATAAAACATATGCTGAAATTACAGTAAGGGTTCATTATATTGATTAATATGAGCGTGAGTTGGTCGCGCATGGTCCATCTGGACATACAGCATCAGTTGTAATTCTAAAAAATGAAGTGCCAAGTAAAATAGTTTTTATATTGCTGGAAACTTTAAAGTTCCAGTGTGTAAAATCTCACCACTAGATGTCAGTAGGTTGCAGATTACAGTCAACTGAATTCTGTTTTCTTTCCCATCCCGTTTGTGCATGAACCTAACTATAGTGACCACTATAGGACAAACAACTCTGTCCACCATTTATTTGTAGTGAGTACAAGCCATCGCTGAGCCGTGTACCTCAGCTGTCAATATGCTGGGTGTCCACCTGTATTTCCTCAGGAAGAGACTGTAAATATTCAAGCTCACTTCTGTCCAATGGCAGCAATAATGAGATGAGTTGTTGAGGATATCCTAAACTTTTTTGCAACTGTTACCTGCTGTTAGTTGGCGTTAGGCAAGGCAAGGCAAGTTTATTTGTATAGCACAATTCAACAACAAGGTGATTCAAAGTGCTTTACAGAGACATTAGAAACAAGAACAAAGGCGTTAGGTAACTTCTTTAAACTTTCATATGATGTGCGAAGTGGGAAGTGGGATTTTTAGGATACTTGAGCCTAACATTAGTTGGCACGATATTAGCTTATAACCAGCTGCTGTTGTTTAGCTGTCTGGAGGCGAACAGCTGACAATAATTAACTGCAACAATATCAGGAATAAATAAGCATGTTTATCCCCGACTCTGTGTGTCACAGCCCTGATTTCAGTTCAGAAGATGACGCTGAATGTGAGGAGGACGAGGATGAGATGGAAACGAGAGAGTAGAGCACTGGTGGAGGAGAAAGACATAATGAGAAAGAGATGACAATATCTAACGTGTACAAATGTTAAATGGACAGATATATTTTAAAAGAGCCATTTGTGATTTTGATTACAAAGCGTACAACATATGTAACCACATACATAAAACACGATTAGGCGCAGAGGCAATGACCATCTCGTCCGCTCTTAGTTGGAAAATGTAATCACACACTAATGAATGGATATTTCTGAGTATTTGATATCTTTTTTCTATTAAACAACCTCAAAAAATTCCTTACCATACCTTTACTGACCTCTGTATATTGTTGCTTTGATGAGGAACATGTGAAAAATGTGTGCAATAAGCTGACATGTGGTTCATGTGTGTTCCATCAAAGAGTCAGTGGATTACAGTCTATTAATTGCCTTACTTTTCCAGCAATGTTTCTAAAAATATAATAGATTAGGCACTTATGATAAACGAGCACAACAAGTTTAGTTCATTTTCCAGGACATTGGCAAGCATTAACAGTAAATTACCATTTGCTCTTGTGCCAGTTAAACAGTAGTAATCACCTCTTGGAAGAGAATGAAGGATTTGTGCATTGACCTTAGCATACTCCAGCTATTGCTCTACTGTTTTGTGCCGCATTTGTGCGTCTTCTTCTTAAATGCTTG